AATGACTGCTCTTTTTTTTTTTTTTTTTTTTGGTACCAGGGATTGAACTTGGGTCCTTGCACGGCAGGCCACCGAACCGCTGAGCTAAATCCCCGGCCCTACTCTTCTTGTAAATAGAAGTTCACCTAACACGTTATAGCTGTAAAACACCATGCACGCACACCCAGACTTCTGAATGCCAACACGTCCATTTCCAATGGCGTCCATATACAGGCGCTGCAGGAGCCCAGGGCACACAATTCTATGCTACGCTACAGACAGAAAGAGGGAAAGTGTGAAAGTCTTAGAGAAAAGGTAAGCCATCTGGGCTCAGTGAGGTTACATGCTCAAAAGGTATTTGGTAAAGTCCAGTCCTTCCGGAAATCACTGCCCTTGAGCCCCGATGAACAGCTCAACAACAGAGCTTGGCTTTAAAAGTGCCCTGTAGTGCCTGGCCCAAGGTGGCTTTTGGGCAATGTGTTCCCCAGAGGGGAATCTTCCCTGCCTCTCTACTATGTGCCACGCTACTGAAAATTGTTCAGGGAAAATGAGAGATGCTCCAGCCCCTCTGCCTTTCACGACTGCTCACAGAGACTCAAAGGCTCAGAGGAGAAATGCTCTATGGCACCCTGGTTGGACAAGCACTTGATCCTTACCAACATGGTACTTCCAGGAAAAGGTTACAAGGGTAAGGGGTGACATCAGAGACTATGGAGGCCCCGACTGCCTGTCAACACACACACACTACTGGGTACAGTGCACAGTCACCCAAAGTGCTGTGGGGCAGGTTTGCTAAGGTTAGAAACCAAGGAGAAACACAAACAGCGCATTCACTCAGGGAATCTGCAAAAGATAATCACAGAAACAAAACCACTTTTACATATGGCAACTCCACATTTTGGCAACTTCCAAAGAAACAGCCTTTCCCACCCCAAACCAAGAGAGGGTCCACAAAGTCCTTCATCTTTGGTCCAGTTAAAAGGCCAGGGAAGGAAAACAGGTCAACGGGGTAAGAAAAGGCTGCAACAGCAGTCACCAACTACATGGCACTCTTCTTCGTGATGTGGCACACCCACCTCAAATCCCTTCCTGAGGACAAGACAGGGTTAGACAGGACTCACAGCGACGCCTAGCAGAGCTGCTCACTGCTCGTGGGAGCAGCACAGCGCCCAAGATGAGAACAGTTCCCGCCACTGTCCACCTCAGGAGGACATCCACCCTCCCTTGCACAGAGGCTCCGCACATAGCAGTGTGTCCTTCTCCTGTCCCAAACTTCAGTTTGACACAGGGCAGCTAGAACCCGTTGCATCTCTGCACTCCCTGGAGGGAGACTAGCAGGAGGGAAAGGGGCCAGAAGCAGCTGCAAATGTCCAATGTGGCCCACGTGCGTGAGAACAGGAGGGCACAGCTCAGGACAGTCCTCCTTCCTCTCCAGCTGCCTTGACATCTAGGCCATTTCCAAGGAGCCAGGCCATCCTTTCCTTCCCCCAAGTCCCAAAAGGATCCATCTGGGGACCCAGTCCAGCTGCTATCATCAAAATCTGTCAGAACACTGGCTAAGAAGACAAAAAAAAAAGCTTCTGAAAAGGGAGTCTGCAGCCAGAGCTGCATCTGTCCTCCGGATCCCAGGGGAAGGGTGGGGCTGCTTTGGTTTTGACCAGATCACATCCTCGCTGGGCACCAGGCTCAGCTTTGCTTGCAGTACCTCAGTTACTATACAGGCGCAAGACTTCACGGAGCTGCTCTGCTGGATCCCTCTCCTGACTTCAGCTCTCTGGAATTTCAGACTCTCAGCTTACATTCGAGATCCTCTCTCCTGAAGAATCTGAAAGTGGAGGACCAGGAAGAAGCCTGAGACTTCTGAGCAGACTGCCGAGGGAAGGAAAGACTCACAGGAGATAGAGGTGCAGCTCAGTGGCACAGAGCATGCAGAAGACCTTGGTTTTGGTCCCCTCATCAGCCTCTCCCCACAAAAAAAGCCACAAGTGTGATGCACACCTGTGATCCTGGCACTATTGGAGGCTGAAGCAGGAGGACTGCGAGTCTGAGCTCAGCACAAGAAACTTAGTGACTGAGGGAGACCTTGTCTCTAAATAGAAAGTTAAAAAAAGGACTGGGGATACAGCTCAGTGCAAAGGCTCTGGGTTTAATCCCCAGTAATGGGAAAAAGATTCAAATCAGAATATTATCTAATTACAGTGGAACTGAGTTAGAAATCAATCAGAAAAATGATTAAAAACTGATTCCAAGCCAGGCGTGGTGGCACATCCCTGTAATCCCAGAACTCCCAAGGCTGAATCGAGAGGATCATCATGAGTTCAAGACCAGCCTAGGCTACTCAGTTGGGTTCAAGGCAGGCCTGTAATACTTTTGTTTTGTTTGTTTGTTTGTTTGAGACAGGGTCTCACTATGTAGTTGAGACTGACCTGGAACTCACTATGTAGCCCAGGCTGGTCTCAAACTCACAGTGATCCTCCTGCCTCAGCCTCCTGAGTGCTGGAATTACAGTGCGCCACCACAACCGGAGGCCTGTAATACATAGTGAGACCCTATCTCAACAAACAAAGCAACAAAACTGATTTCAAAAAAGCGTCACCCACACTGAGCACTGAGCTGTAGAAATCTGCTTACTGCATATAGCTGGGCCTAAAGTTTCTGCACTGTTGGACCAGAGTCTTCCCATGCTAAAGGAAATGGTTCAAGCTCATGATGCACTGGTGGTTCAGAAGTATGTGTGTTGCGTGTGTGCGTGCGTGTGTGTGTAAAGGAAGTAACTGTGTGGAGTTTGGGGTACTGGAGATTGAACCCAGGACTTTGCACATACTAGACAAGTGCTGTCCCACTGAGTTACATTCTCAGCTCAGCTTTTTTTACTTTACAGAGGCTGGACAAACCACCCTTTCCACTTTCATGTTTCCTAACCAAAAAACTCACTGTTCCCTAAATCCTAATTTAAATGCAGCAGCAAAAAACTTGCATAGTGGGAAAACACAAAACTGGATGAGGAAGGGAGAATAGGGGCAGCAGCTGGGGTGAAGTTGCAGGGGCCTGCACACAAATAAGCCAGAACTGCAATCCTGCAAAGCGTTTTCTTAAGCTTTTTATTTTGTTTTTGAGACAAGTGTCTCATTATGCAGTTTACACTGGCCCTGAACTTTGTAGGAAGGGCTAGCCTTCAACTCACAGCAATCCTCCTGCCTCGGCCTCCAAATTGCTAGGATTATAGGTACATGCCAAAGCAGATTTCTTACCTTTGCCTTTTCACTCGGCTCTATGACAATGCCATTGGTAGAATTATTTAATTCTCTGGAGACGACACAGAGGAATTCAGCCTGGTCCTCGTTTCCATAGTTATAGGAGGAGCCAATGCTGATTAGCTGGCAAAACAAGAAGATGGTGACCGTATAAGTAGCAACCTTCAAATCTCAAGTGCCACATAAATCACATCTTCCTGCTCTCTGGAATTTGTACTTTTACTTCTCAAAGGATGAATTCTTGGGGACTACCAAGATCCTGAAGGAGAGCCAGATCTCAGTTCACCATATGGCATCACCAGCGAATTTCCCCGAGAAGTCTGAAGCCCACCACTGTCCTCTCTACCACGACTTGTCCTATCGCTCTCCCTCTGTCAACATGAATACTACAAAATGTTTCTACAAATGGAAACAGACTTGCTCCCACCAAAACACAGCGTTGGCTCATCTGTGAGCAGGGCTCCTAGATAGCAGACCGCCACACAGAAGGACCTGGAACGCACCAAGAAAAGCACTGGATAGCCATCAAGAGATGTCTACTGTTGGCACTTTGAACCTTTTTGGAGAACTGAGTTCAATATTGATTCTATATAGGAAACACAAAGAGAGGGAGAAGCTGAGTTGGGGGTGAGGTTATCCTCACAAGTGTGCAAGGTCTCAGGTCAGGAGATCCCAGCTGGCTGTCTGGGGAGGGGCCCTTCAGCGCCCCCACACCCAACTTCCTTATCTGTACCACAGAGGCAATGAGAATAGACCTTGGCCTCCCACAGGACATTAATAAGATGAGACAGCAACAAAATAAAATTACCCATCGGTTTACAAAGAATACTTTTTTTTTTTGTTTTACTTAAGTAATATCCTTTACTTAAGACTCTATCAGGGAAGAATCCTTCTGAGTCAGAGGACAATAAACCCTGGGCACATTCTGACACTCACACATGAAAGAGAACCAGGCTGCCGCAGCAGCAGGACCGATTCTGTAGTGGAAGAAAAGGGTGAGAGGAATGATCCAGCACTGGCTCTGGGAACCGAGGCAGCTTTGAATGCGATCTATATGCTGCTCCATTACTCAAACTATAGCTTTATTTAGAAGGTGAGCTTCCCCTGCTGGCTCAGTTGGCCTCTTCAACTGTATGTAAGAATAGGCAACATTCCACATAAAACCAGGTTCCTTTTATCCCCCCCCCAGCCTTCCTGTGGGCTAACGGCACAGAAGAATTGAACAATTACACCATCTAATGAAAGAAAACTGGGGTTCTGGGTAGCTTTGTTTTGATCTTAAACACAGGCACAAGACTAAAAGAACTGAGACGGAAAGGAGGCGAGACTTTTCACCTCATATCTTCATAGTGTATTTAGTTACTAGGCAGTTACAGCAGATAATGCAAACTCAGTATTATTAAATTCTGACCCTGTGAGATGAAAGGCTGGATGGTGAATCCCAGTGGTTTTTAGGGACTCACTGCAGAACATGTCCACAGAATACTTTTGAAAAACAAAGTGAGGCTTTTCGAGCCTAGACAAGCTGGCTGATTCCCCTGGGCACCAAGTTCAGACTCTGGACGGGAGGCCAGAAGATGTGGCTCTCCTCCCAGCTCTTCCCTACCCAACACATACTATTGAGCACATAGTGTGCACCAAGTAGCACTTTCCCCAGTTTGGAAATGGATTGCATTCGGCCCCCTTCCCAACTTCCAGGGCTATAAACTGGCTGGATGATGACTGTTCAAGAACTTGTGGCCCTGGGACGAGACCCTGGGTTTTGCTTTTTGAGAAACATACCTGTTCAAATTTCCAGCCATCAGACATGGTAGAGACCATCTGCGTGAGCTCTTCCTCTTGACACTGCAGGACTCTATACACATGCTTCACGGGGCCCTGCAACAACCAGGAAGACTGAGAAGAGCAGCAGCAGAGGTGACAGGTGCAGCGGCCCTGGGGCTCCACCACCCCCTCTACCCGCTTCATGAGCAGCACTATAATTTCCTGGTAAAAATTATCCAAGGGTGCTGGGCATGGTGATGCACACCTGTAACCCCAATACTCAGGAGCTGAGGCACAAGGATCACCTTGAGTTCGAGGCCAGCCTGGGCTACATAGAGAGATCCCTGTCTCAAAATAAAAATCCACGGGCCGGGGGTTTAGCCCAGTGGTTCTGCTGCCTGCCTTGCAAGTGCAAGGTCCTGAGTTCGATCCCTGGAACAACAACAACAAAAAATCCAAGAGGGGCTGGGGATTTAGCTCAGTGGTACCACCACTGCCTGCCTCACAAGTGCAAGGCTCTGAGTTTGATCCCTGGTACAAAAAAAAAAAAAAGATCCAAGAATGTGGATCAGTGGATAAAATAATTCTCAACTTCAGACAGATGAATTATGTGAGCAACCATGTGACAGAACAGATTATTTCATCCATTTCCTCAATTACTTTGCACAAGAAAGTCACATTTTTTTCCTGAAGAGATTTATACATGATGTATATGCTAAAAATGTATGGCACACTTTGGTTTATTTAGACTGGCAGAAGTGATTACAGGAACAATGTATTAATGATCTATTATACTGGAACCTCATAATGTTCAAGTTATTTTTATCCTCCCTGATGCTACCTGCAAGTGTTTCAGTATTAAAAACAGGTGCATTCCCGTTAGAAATATTTCACAATAAAAAGTAAGTATTTGGTTTTGTCTGCATTCCTGGCAGAGCTCTCAGATGTCTGAAACTTCCTGAGTAATAAGGGTGCCTTTTGAGGTTATGGGTATTTGGGAGCTGGAGAGGTTGGGTTCCATCCCTAGTACTGTAAAAATAAAAACCAAAAAAGAGTACTATATAGCTATCATTACCAAGGTAGTAGGACTAAAAAATTTTCTCCCTTATAAAATATAGGATAGAGGCTGAGGATTTATCTCAGCAGTTCGGCCACCTGCCTCCTAAGCACAAGGACCCGAGTTCAATCCTCCATACCAAAAAAAAAGGACGAATTCTCCAAAAATTTCAATTGGTTCTAGTAACGTGTCTTGGAAACCACCAGATGTTTTATATTACACAATTCAGAGCTCACAAAAGACCTGTGATATTGGCCATAGTTGTCAAAGTTCCAGGTATTTAAATGCATGATGATGCCTCTTTTTTCATCCTCCAAAGCAAACATCAGTGCTTAGAAAAGCACCAACATTAATCACCTATAAAAACATGATTATTAGAAGCTGAGCATGGTCCTGCACATCTGTAACCCCAGCAGTTGGAAAGCTGAGGCTGGAGGAGTGCTCTGAATTCAAGACCATCCTGGCTACATAGTGAGTTCAAGGCCAGCATGAGCTATATAGACAGCAAAGTAGTTAGGATGATTGATGACAGTCCCTAAGAGATAAGAGGCCACGACAATAGAGCTAGGTTAAGATCCACATTTTGGGCTTTGCTTGTTAAAGGAGACAACATCTGGAAATCCACACACAGCCAACTTCATCTTAGAACCATGTGGAACAAGGGCAAAAGAGGGTGTCTTTGAACATCAAAACCATTTCACAGTTAGAGTTTCATAATAAGAGACAGATGGAAAGATCAATGAATGTCACAGAGGTCTTGACATTCCCAGAACAAAAAGCTTCCAACTGGGTATAACGGCACAAGCCTTCAGAATCTGGAGGACTAATTAACTTAACTGCTGTCATCGAATGGAAATATATTACACTCAAGGAATCAGCTGATGGCAAAGAACAGAGAATGCTTAAGTAGCATAAACCGGGTGTTTTCAAATTACATAACTCATAGTACCTCAAAATTTCTACTATGCTATCAAGTTGTTTTTTTTTTAAGAAAGTGGAAAATTAAAAGATAAAACATTTCCAAAATATTTAAGACATTTAACACCTATAACAGTGAAAGATTCCATGCAATATAAAATGGCAAAGACTGGTGACCCTACCAGAGATCATGTTTCACAACCTACAAATTCAACTTTGTTGCTGTTGTTTTTTGTGTTTTTCTGGGTACCGGGGATTGAACTCGGGTCCTTGCTCTTGCAAGGCAGGCACTGGAAGCACTGAGCTAAGTCCCCGGCCCTACAAATTCAACTTTGAACACTAACAAGGAGCCTTTTAGCAGTCAGCCAGAATAAGTCTGTTTGCCTTTCTCTTTCCTTGCTTGTTTTTTCCGAGACAGGGTCTTGCTATGTAGTTCAGGCTGGCCTTGAAGAAGCAGTGACCCTCCTGCCTGGGATTACAGGCCTGTGTCAGCGTGCCTCACTCTAGAATAAGTCCTCTTTCCACCTCTGCAAGAAGCTATAATGGATTGAAGGCCTCATTTTTTAATCACTGGTGCCAGTTTTTCAGGCATATATTCCATTCAGAGCCGAAACACACTAGTATGTGAAGTCTAACAGAGAAAGAGCAAGGCATTATTTTTTAAGAAACTATGGCCTTCTTTTCAATGGCAGCTAATTCCCAGGTTTCGATGAAATAAAGAAAGCATGCAGCACCAGAACCTGGTAGGATAAGAGGCGGCTGTGCCATGAGACAGATGCCATAGCGGAGCATAGCTCCGCCCTTAGTTATTGCAGCTCTGAAGTCTTTTTTGTTCAGTACGAGGGACTGAACCCAGGACCTTTGCACTGAGCCACATCCCCAGCCCACCTCCCCCTTTCTTGAGACAGGGATGTGCTAAGTTGCTAAATTTCCCAGGCTGGATTTGAACTTAGGATCTTCCTGCCTCAGCCTCCTAGAGTGCTGGGTTTACAGGTGTGGTCTACTCTGACTGGCTAGAAGTTGGTCTTTCTTAAATGCAGGAAAGGAAAGGTCTCTTTTTCTTGCTAGATTTCAAGGTTCCTGGGGTCAAGGACTTCTTCCTGTTACTCATAGAATTTCAAGGGCTTAAAACAGAGGCCATCCAAACACATGATGAATAATGTATGCAAAACAAGCTAAGTATGCCCTATCATCTTTCCTTCCCTCAAATGAGGTGCAACATTCTGTTAACATCAAAATCCAGACAGTATAATAAAAAAAGAGAGGAGCCGGGCGTGGTGGCACACGCCTGTAATCCCAGCAATTGGGAGGCTGAGGCAGGAGGATTGCTGGGTTACATAGTGAGTTCCAGGTCAGTCCCAACTACATAGTGAGACCCTGTCTCAAAAAACCAAAATATAAATAAACAAACAAAGAAATAAGAGAGGCTTGGTACAGCTCTCTCAGAAGCATGATTTCAGGACTGCTTTCAAATGGCTCTCAGGAGCAGGATCACATGTTAAGGGGTTGCCTTGATAAAAGGCAGCTAACAGGTGGAAGTGAGACCTTGTCTGAGCTTCATGTTGAGGGAGATGGACACCGGGTCAGAGAGAACAGGCTTTGGATCTAGAGTGGCCTAGGCTCCTCCCACTGCCATATGGTGGATGATGACAATCTCTCTCTTCTAAAATAATATGGGGTTGTTCTGATGTTATTTCTGCTTCTCCATTTCCTCCTTCTGAACGACTTTGGCTGAGCATGGACCATCTGCCCAGAAGAAGTTCTTCACCCAGACCTCCCGTTAGGAAAGAACGGCACTCTTTTCAGATCACACCTGTCACGTGGGTTCCACCTAACAGTTCAAAACACCTTACTTGTGAAGTTCTGTTCTCATTGTCTCGTATCCTTTCCTTCACCAGCCGAACGAGAGACGCGATGTTGTAAAACTCTGCTTCTTCCAGCACGCCTACAAGGACCAGACTGCAGTCAGAGATGTGTGAGCTCACCAGAAAAACAGCGAGAGGAGGCTTGCTAAAAACTGCATTTTTCAAGTACAAATCTAGCCTAGGGAGTTTAGGAAATACCTCCCTGCTGTTTAGGGGTGCATCCAGAACCTTTTCCCAACGAAAGAAGTCAGGCACCAGGCCTGCTCTGCTCACTGTTTCACCCCACCCACTTCCTCCCAGCACCTGCCCATTAGTGACAGGACACTTTCCCCATATGTCACCTAGTTCTGAACTACCGGACACCTCCTGTGCTTGCCATTTTTTTACCCAGTTTGCCCTAAAAAGGACTGGAAGATAGGTTTATATGTATAAATTTGTAAGGATCAAATTTAATAGAATGTTTATTATTTGAAGAACATAAAAGGCAATCACTGAAAGAATCTCATGCTAAACAAATTCAGAGGCCTCAGGACAACTATGGTATGCATGGCTCTGTACCAGGAAAAAATTTTGCTAAAATGGCCATTATTAGGACAACTAAGCCAGGCATAGTGCTGCACGCCTGTAATCCCAGCACTTGGGAGGCTGAGGCAGGAGTGCTGTGAGTTCAAGGACGGCCTGGGCTTCACAGTAAGTTCAAGGCCAGCTTGAACTACACAGCAAGACCCTGTCTCAAAAAACAAACAAACAAGAAAAAAAAAAAAAAACTGACAAAATTGGAATATAAGCTACAGATAAAAATATCTAACAATATTAAATTCCTTGACTTTGAAAGTGAGATAACATACTTGTTCTTGGGAGAGACATAGAAATATTAAGAGGTGAAGTCTGCAATCTAGTCTCAAACTGCTCAGAAATAGAAACTACAGGGCAAGGAGAAAGGAAAGGAAGGAGGAAGAAAGGATGAGAAAGAAGAGGGAGGAAGAGAAGAAGGGGGGACAATGAATGATAATGTAAATACGACAAAATAATAGTAAGAATTGGTGAATCTAGGTAAAGGGAGTGTTTTCGCACTATTCTTGTCCTTTTCTGTAAGTCTAGAAGTATTTCAAAATATAGCTTTGTTTTGTTTTGTTTTTTTTACTAAACATCAAGAAAAGGTCATCCATGAGTTTGTAGTTGCTCAGCTGTTTGGAGGGTGCATGGAGCCTATACCATTCACATTACTTTTGTATGATTTTGACAGTTTTTTAAAGAAGGATAAAAAAAAAAAGGAGTGTTTCCCAAATGCCCCCCCACAAGAGAGCAAGACAGTGAGAGAGCAAACACCGTCCTTCTTTTTATTGGCCGAAAGAGAACTACTTTGCAGCCACTTCAATAACAAGCACGGCCATTGTAAGCTTTCATATTCAAAGCTAAGGTACCCAGATGAAGGTGCTCCAGATTTAGGGAAGAGCCCCAAATCCTTCACTGAAGGCCTCCCAAGAGACCAAAGCCAAGCTTTGCGAAAGAGGACTACTTAAATCCAAGTGCCCTACAGACCAAAAGGATGAGACAACCAATAATACACCTGACAATGAGCTGGAGGATGAATTAGGTCAGCAGCAAAAATTACAGAGAAGCATAAGACTCAAGTCTTAAAAAGAAATGAGGTCAAGCCTTTATTATTTTTTTACAGCTGCAAGTTCAAACTAAAATTGAAAATATAAATAACTGAAATGTTAGAGATGTGCTGCTCCAGGCTATGGACATTCACTGCCAGCATATAAATGAATGTTTGAAAAGGACTGTGACAGTTCTGCATGTCGGAAAAGACTCCTGAAGCTGTTTGCAAAGTTGAGACCAACTTTCCTTCTCACTAAAAGAGCTAAACAGAGTGCAGTGGGTCTTTCTTTAACCAGGCTCTCTCAGACAAGACTAGGTAACTAGGCTTTCTGCTCATTTTCATTAACCTATACTAAGCCAGAACACCAACCCAGTGAAAATCTCAAAACTCAAGTCTATGAAGAAGCTCTACGTGACCTGAAATTTGAAATGTCCAGTGCCAACAGTGCGGTTACCTTCTTCTGCCAACTCCTTAGTAATGATGAGTTTGCCATGACGGAGGTAGTTTAGGATAGGCCCAAAGTAGGTGGGGTCTCTGTCAATCAAATAGGCTCCAGTCTCATCCTGCCAACCAAGCACAAGGGTGTCATTATGCTCAGGAGAATGTTTAAACTGAGAGGGTTTCTCCCCTATCGCTAGAATTCCATCAGCTACAAAATTTTGGTGAGGTCAAGTTTTGCTAGACATTTGCTTACTGAAAATTACTGGCAAGAAGGCTAGCTCTCTCTAAGCATCTTCCGCTTTGGATCATTTCAGGTTGCCGTCACAGATACAAAGTCTTACACATCCTCTAGGCATTTATTTACTGGCTTGAATGTTGCTTGGCCAATTGCCAACATACTTCCATAGGACACTGGTTACAAGGGAGGAAAACAAAAAAAAGCCACAGATTCATGATTTAAATCTTTGCTGGAAATGGACATTCTGACTTCTCCACGACTCCCGAACTACATTCCTAATTCGAAGAAAACCTCCGTTCAGTTGGCAACGCTCCTGAGCTCAAAGCCAATGTCAGTGGGAGTTTACATTGCCAGCTGTAATCTCACACACCCTAGCTCTGTGCCCAGAGGAAGTGTGGTAATGCCAGGACTTGGCTCTGAAAAGCTTTAATCCTACTCCTCTTTACAGTAAAAGGAACAAGAAGAAACTTGCTTATATGGCCATAAGGAAGATTTAGGGTATATAAAAATTATTCGCAAGCATTTTGGAATCTCGTTAAAAGTTTGGGAACATTTCCATCAATCTGAGTTTAGTAGATGAAGTAACAAATGTTTATGCAACCCCAACTCAGCTGCAATGTGATCAGCTGAGTGCTATATAGGATACACGATTAGGTATAATCTGTGGTCAATGCCTTTCGGTTGGGAACTAAGGGGAACCTGTAAAAGTTTAAAAAGTTCAAATAGTTCAAACTGAAAATAGGGTATCTTCTCACCTCTTAACTCTTTGATTAGCAACCATGCATCTTGCCTAATAGCATTCCTTGGTTTCTACTTTCCCTTAGTCTTAACTGGTTAACCTAGATTTGCCCTGGCAAATATAACTTTTCCTTCCTCAAGGAATGCATCTGATATTAAGTATGGACCTAAGCAATGACTGTTTACCCGACACAAGGTCTGGGACCAGGACTTTAGGAGAACAGTGACATCGCAAGAAGCCTGCCTTCTCTGAGGTGGTGGAAGCCATTGTCAGACCCAGGCTTCACCCAACCCGGCACAAGGGTCTTACAGGAAGTCTGAAGAAACTACAAAGGTTCCTTGGCTCACTCTGATTCAGTTCTGGACATATCCCACCGGCAATGGAGGGCTGAAGGGGGGCCAGGGGTAAACTCCTGCAAGAGGCAGGATGAAATGAGAGACGCAGAGAATATGGGAGAGGGGTGTGGAGTGGGTTTTCTGGGGTTGGGCAGTGCAGGGAAAGAGCCCCTGAGAAGGAAGGGCTAGGTCACAGGGAAACGCAAGGTGATGCCTGAGGATGGGGAGAATGGGGAGGGGCGCTTTCTGAAGCTCCCCGGGCCAGCCTGGGGGGCCGGGGACGATGTGGTTCTGGGCTGAGGAGTCTACCTCTGAGGAGGTTGTCCCAGGACTCTGGAGACGAGCCTAGGAGAGCTAGGAGATCCAAAGGCCCGAGGGCGGGGCGCACCTTGTCCGAGTCCAGCTCCGGGTCCTCTTGGCAGCAAAGGCGGCAGAGAAAAGACTTGGGTTCCCGGCCTAGGGTCTGCCTGGTGGTCACGAAGTAGGTGCCGCCTACGTTCAGCCGGACCCAGCGGGCCGCGCCGCCGCCGCCCC